TTTTGGGGTAATATAATATATTTTTGATATAAAATGGTTCATCTAAAGTCCCGATAACACTCAGATAACTGGCCTTTAATTAATAATCTGTGGGGAAGAGACGGGGATCATGCCTGACTCAACATTGCTTTCCTGAATATAATAAATAAATACATAAATATAAATACACTGAATTGTTACTTAGTAAAATCCGTCCTTTTTAAACATTTTTATTTTTTTAAACAGACAGCAGCTCCTCTTCAAATAACATTCCAGCAGGAGTAAGTAAGGAACAAGTCTTTTAAGCTGAGTATCTTGGATCTAAAGTGTTCCATAATATCCATTACTGGTCCTTGGTCCAGTGGCAGCCTTATTACCATTTCTGAACTTCAAGCACTGTAAAGAGTCTTACGATACAAAATGTTTGTTAAATAGCCGATAGAGAAGCTATAAGCTTTTTAATGTTGAATTTTATAGCTTCTCCACGCTCTGCCGTTCTTGTGGATATTGTAATATTGCATTTTTACTGGTTATTCATCTGTTAATGTTCCAGTTACTAACTTTTATACTCTTCCTTATACTTTTTTTGTCGTCCCTCACACTGTTAAACACATAGAGAAAGTTTCCTCTTCATATACAGTATGTGATATCTAACTGAACTCAATCTCTTGAGATTTGAGGAAACCGTTTCAGAGGCAATGGTTAAGGTGTTTAATAAGAAAAAATAAACATCTGTGCAACCTCAGCATGGCAGATGTGATCGGACCGCTATGATAAAGTACACTCAAATTAACATCTGAAAATGTATTAATTAATATTAATTGATTTCTGGATTCTTACCCTTCTATTGTGTTTTCCTTTTCCCTGTGAGGGCATGTGTGTGTGTGTGTGTGTGTGTGTGTGTGTGTGTGTGTGTGTGTGTGTTTGTGGAGAGAGAGAGAGAGAGAGAGAGAGAGAGAGAGAGAGAGAGAGAGAGAGAGAGAGAGAGAGACTAGTCAATTTTCAAATCAAAGTGATAACCATGTATTCAGTGTTGTCATGAGCCTTAAAATAAAGGTGGCTTGTCTTAATAAAACGAATCTCGTTTTAATAAATCAGTATTAGTGATTTATTTTTTTTGGTGTCACCAAAGTTAGTGTTCACAATGGGACATTTTGGGGGGATCTAAATTGAATGTGTTCTGTCTGCTGACAAGTTCCATGCATCTAGAGGCTATTTCTATTATAAAAATGTAATCATTTCTTATTATTATAATAATTTCAAAAGTGAAATGAAGAGTTTAATAGCCTGGAACAACTACTCAACCACAAACCAACTCAATACATTTCCTTCGAATAAGCTTTTGTGTTTTCAAAGAAATAGTAAGTGCTTCAAATCGAGTTTTAAAAGAAGAAAAAATGTATTTACCCTTGCTGAGACATTATTTCAGCTAAAACCGTTTTTTACACGTTCTTTTAATTCAGCAGCTGAAACGCTCCGTGTTCTTTGATTCCTATTTTTGTTTTTTTTTCTCCCTTTATCAATTGCTAGTTCGTTGGAGCAGGGTTGCTTCCGCTTTTTGTTGCCGCCTAAACCGTTTAGTTTTGGATGATCGGTCAAAGATTCTGACGAACAGCGAGGAGAAGCGCGACGCCCAGCCGGGGAGGGAGTGCAGGAGGCCGGACAGATCTACTGGGCTGCATCGGGGAGATGCACCATTAGACATGGGGAGAGCCATGCCTCACAGCGCTGCTCGACCAGGTAGGATTTCTGCCTCTGCCTCATACTAATGTCAGTGTTTGTTCGCAGGTATTCTGTTTGCACGGTGTGTCACAAAACTGTGAGGAGGCTCCTGCTCGTATGTCTACTTCTTGCTTTTTTTTCTTCCTCCTCTTTAAATCAAAGACTTCTTCTTTCAGATGGCACAGTGACTTGACGAATTTACCCCCTTTTTTTCTGTTGTGCCGCAATGTCGGAAATTACGGTTTTGATTTCATATTTTTACATAATAATTATCGTCGTCGTTGGGGAAAATACTTGTTTATTGTCTATTAACCCAAGCTCGGGGCTGTAATTGAAAAACATAGATCACGATCTAATTCACTTCTCAATTTTTAGGTTTAGATGGGGAGATCAATCGAAAACGGTTGTAATGATCTAATTAATTATGGCAAAATTAAAAGCAAGTACAAAATCAATCTGTGGCGGTGTCGAGGACAGAGTCAAAGGGATATCCATCTGCTCCCGTTATAAAGCACATGAATAAGCAATCTAAGGACGCAGCTGATATCCTGCAGTTTGGCATAGCCTTCCCATATGGTGTCAGGAGACACCCAATCATTGCGGGGTATTATAAGTGACTCCCGACGTGACATGGATGTTTTGGCTAGTATTATATATATATATATGGAGTTGTATTATAGTTTTGTAAAATTAGCTTTAAGTGTTTTTTTAAGGAGGTCGTAGTGCTGAATGGAGCAGCTTCAATTTTAATAAAAAGCTCAGGAATCTATTAGTAAAATGACAGCGCAATAAACCAACGTCCATTCACAAATGCCGACAGAACGAAACGCATTAAAGTCCGAGTTTGAAGCTACCGTGTCAGTGGCTCCCAAATTGGGGTTAGAACACCTCAGGGGCCCTCAAAACATCCCAAATGTAATATGTTCATATTATACCTTGTTTCACTCTCTAACAGTCACTTCCACGTCTACAAATATTGGATACATATCCAAGTATTGTTTAATAAGCGATGGTGGGGGATCAGGGGCCCTGAACATGTCCGTTAGTCCCTGTACTGTCTAAAACATCTAGTAAAGACAAAACGGGAAGATACATTTACGAACAGCATTATCGATTGTTGACGTGAACGCGCATTACAGGCCATGTGTCTGGAAAAAAAAACGCGAAAGAAAAGGATTTGTTTTGTCCTCTGAGGAAATTCATCATCCGCCCCTCCCTCCTTCTCCGCCCTGTCTTCCCACCTCAAAATTGTTATTGAAATAACAACAACGATCGATGTGTTGTCATTATTATTATTAATATTAATATTTTAATAAGTTAGACCTTATTTTTCCTGCTTCGCATTTGCAATGGGAGGTACACAAATCACAGCACAGGATAATTATCAATTATAAACAACACCAGGTTTAGAAGTCGGCACGTTTTTTTAAATTATTATAATTGGCTGAAATATATTAGAGAAAACCGGATGGTACTGCGCGTGACTAAAAAAACAAATATATTACAGGCAAAATAAATCGAACACAAAAATCTCGCTGGGTGCTTGGTGGCTGTTTTAAGGGAGTGTGAAGTCGGCACTAACAGTTTCTTAATAATCACGCCGTTTGTTTTTCTGTGCTGTGACACGGACACGTCATCGCGGCAGTGCAGCAGAGGAGAGGTACGGGGGGCAAATCGGGGTGTTGTGGGGGAAATAGCAGCAGCTTTAGGGCGAAAGTGCACTGACGTGTGAAATTACAGCCCATGGTGCTACATATTGTACCAGAAGCTCCCTTCCCAAAAAAAAAGAAAGAAAAGCTGAAACAATAAGAGGAATCGTCCTCAAACTTGTCCAGAGGGCAGTTGGACGCAACCCGCAGTCCTGGTGCCATGAAGTCCACGAACCCTTTTAATTAACGGGATAGTATTAATAATAGTTTCATTATTGATATTCGTGTTATTATACTGCTGTGTCGTTCAATACAAAATATCCATCGCAGTAAATGAAAGAGGGTTGTAGTTTAATACATCACGTTGGATAACTTTAAAAAACACTCCAAACACGCTTCTGATATCCTCTATGCGTAACGATCAATCTGACATTATTATGCTGAGATGGAGCTAATTTACCTAAACGACATTCACTGACAGACATGCAGAAGTGTTGAGACTCATATCAACCATTAGAATACACACTTAAAAAAAAAAAAATCGAAGAATCTTCATTGATTGCGCGTTTTTCTCTGTGTTTCCTTTTTGATTGAGTTCTGCCGGAAGAGATTAAGAGCGCATAATGCCGCTACAGTAGGTTTACCCCCACCGCCCCAACCTTTGACCCGGCCAGCTCCAGCAGCACCGGCCTACCTGCCGGCTGCTGCCTGCGCGAGCACAGCGGGCTGCATAAACCTACTGTGTGAGCGCCATCTACAGAGCGATGCTGCACACAGGCGATGCGTGCACGCTGCTGCTGCTGCTGCTGCTGCTGGCGGCCTGCTGACTGACTGGGATCTCACCTTGAGCACATGCTGTCCGACCACGCGCAGGGGCAACTGCAGTCGTGCAGGACAACAGGCAACAGCCGCTTTTTTAGTCACTGAAAGTGTTGTTTTTTTTCTTCAAGGTGCTGAACTCACAACTCGGAAAGGATGTCTTTGGTTGCAGGTTGAAGAACAGGGAGCTATAGGAAAACGAGAGGTGATGCTGTAAAAACACAACAAAAGGTTCCAACACCACAAAATGTTATATTTTAAAAAAGATAACTGCTTATTCGAGTTTTTACAGAGGCCGAGTGGGTTATTGGGTGCAGAGAATAGATCAATGCTGTTGTTATTCGAATCACACGAAAAAACATGACAATCTATGGACTGAGATTGTTTTAAATATCTTGTTTTATAATCGGTATCAATTTAAGAATATCAACAAAGGCCTCCCCGTTTGGGTCCCGGTCTCACCATGTGTTTCCATTGTCCCTCACGTGAAAACATTTAAGAAACAATGTCCACATGCCTGACCGTGCTTTACCTCTCTTCTAACCCCCTGCCTTTAATTTGCTTAATTCCTCACCACAAAGTCTCATCATTTCCCGTTTCGTCTACCTCCCCTTCCTGGCTGTCGGATGCAGGGACCTCCTCATTTGAGCTGCAGTTTTTTTTTTTTTTTTTTACGTGGGCGAATCACAAAGTGTTGGAATCTATTGCCTTTGTCTGACAAGTCATCCATCTCTATGCGAGGGGATCTGTGGGATGGAGGTAGGAAAGGGGGAGGGTGGGTGAGGTGGGGTGGGGGGGGGGGGGGGTGTGGGACTGCAGCTTTTAGAAACAGACACACGAGGAGAGGGGTTTCATTCTCAGCCCAAAGCTTCGCTCAGTCACAGCCCATTCCGGAGGAGAGGGGGACACACAGCTCCGTACTTCGCCGTGTCCGTGTTGTTGTCATCTCCGCCCCTGTCTGACTGAACCGCAGCCCGCCCGCCCGCCTGCGCTCCACGTCGCCAGAGGAAGAAGGAATTTTTATTTTTTATTTTTTTTAATTCGGCCGCAGATTCCCGAGTCGGACCCTTGGAGACTTCAGCTCTTTTCGTTTTTTTGTGTGTGTGTGTGTGTTTGTTTTTGTTTTGCTCACGATGTCCTACGAACAGTGAGCCGGTTTGAGTCAATGCTGCCGCGGCCGGCGCGCTCTGCACACGCGTGGGTCATGCTCCGCACCTGACCGCCCTTCCGACAGACTTTCTGAGTTTAGACCCGAGCAGGAGGAAGAAAAAAAAAACTCAGCATCGCTACGAGAAGTTGCCATACTGCTGCGGACTCCTGGCGCACGGACGGTTGTACACTAAATTAGAAATCATTACTTTTTTTTTTTAATTTTTTTTTTTACCTAAATAAAGCTGCATCCCCGAGGCGAAACGGCGACCTCAGTCGATTACCTTTCTTTCCTTTGCTATCCAATGGATATTCACTGCAAAGCGGACCCCTTCTCGGCGATGCACCGTGAGTATTGAATTAGTTGAGTTTAAGTCGTGCACGAATAAGGTCGAAGATGTTTTCAGTGATCGGGGTCTAGTTTACACGTAAAACATGCCGCGCGAAATTGCTTATGGTGCTTTAAAATGAATGGTAACAACATTAAAGCATTATAGCAACATTAAATTACTATACCGAAGATGAACATAGTTCTGCAATATTTAACGTGTCAGGATCATAAATCATTTAAAAAAAACAACAACCTTAAGACATTGGCAACTTTTGCAAGAAAAGTTGTTAAAAAATATATGTATTTATCTTACTTATACGGCGCAGAGAACGATGTTCAGAGCACGTGGCTCACTGGAGACTTTTATTTCTTTATTTGTAGAAGCTTTTTGTTGAATCCAAATGACGAAATGTGAGCCGGGTTGAGTTGCATTCACTTTAAAGTGACATAATGGAAACTCCTCAATTTAAATACAGAGCTTTTTATTACCTGTCAAATTAGTTTGGTGTCTTTAAAACAAGGGCACGTTGTTTGTAAATAGCTGTCAGCGTTTCATTTTATTTATCTTTCTGTAGATTTAGTTGGTTAACGATAAAAAGAATGCAGTTACTCTGTGAATTTCCTTCATGTTTTCTTCTCCATACGATAGGGGTAAAGAAGACCCGGGCTGCTGTAAATTATTTATTCGCCTCATTCGCACCATCCGCGTTTGTAATATGAGTTATCAAAGCTCATTTTAATTATTTATAATGACTGTGGGAGGAAAATTAAACAGGTTGAAACATTATATCTACGACATGTGTTAGGCTGCAGTGGAGCAGGTGCTCTTAGAATATATATACTGACAATGCACGAGGACAGGGGAGTTTTATTTTTATTTCAGCGGGATCAAAAGAGGCCAGTGAGGCATATTTGTATGTATTGTGTTATTTAAAACGCTATTTATTTTATGTAAAATGTCGTAAATAATGTGAAAGTAAATATATTTATATATATATATAATTCCACAGTCGTGATACGATTTGTATCATTGTTATTATTATCATTACTGTATTACTATTAGTATTAGTATTATTATCAGTATTAAAGTTGTATTGTACATGGTTCATGTACAAGCAAAGAATATGTGCCTAAATTAAAATGCTTATTTCGCATATTGGATACTGTACGTGTGCATGGTAAAACGTTTAATAATTTTAGACCCCAAAAAAACCTGAATGAGTCATTCCAATGAAATACCCCCCCTCCCCACCCCCACCCCCACCCCCGTGATGCATCCACGTTAAGAGAGAACGTGTGCTCTGCAGGTACGTAATGTTATGCTCCTCTGTGCCGCTGTTGTGTCCCACGCAGGGCACGGCGGTGTGAACCAGCTCGGCGGGGTGTTTGTGAACGGCAGACCCCTCCCGGACGTGGTGAGGCAGCGCATCGTGGAGCTGGCCCACCAGGGTGTCCGGCCCTGCGACATCTCCAGACAGCTACGGGTCAGTCACGGCTGTGTCAGCAAAATCCTCGGCAGGTAAAAGGGGGGATCCGGCACCAACAGAGCCCTATGTGTGTCAAACATCAATCTTCTACAGCCCGTATATGCGCACCAAGCTCTATTTCAGCCCTGGCCGTTGGTTATACAGGCTGGGCATTTCTTTTTATTTCGTCCTTTTTTTTTTTTTGTTGCTTGTACACAGCAGTTCTGCGAGATTTTCTATCCATCACCTGCAGCCTTGTATGAGAAAAGCATAATAATCACGAGCTACAATGTAGGAGGAACGTTTTTAGCTAAGCATTTGGGGTTATAACAAATATTAATAAAGGTTTGGGAGGCTGTATAAATGTCAGAGGAGACTGGGAATTATGAAGGTAATTTAAACAGTCTACATACTCGATCTGGAATATTAAAAAAGACCACACATGTGGCCATTATGAATTTACATTTGAGTATCATTATGTGCGAAAAATATCACAAATACACACTTCACGTTACTATATTTTCAATCAGTGTAAAATCTACTTCAAACCATAAATTAGGTCTACATCTTTTTTTTTAAACTTCAGAGCACAAATGCTGTGAGATAATATTTTGAAATATATTTTTTTCAGCTATCAGAAGGCATTTCAGAGGTATTTCATTTCACACACACTGAATGTTTGTCACCAACATTTACCAATAGGTCATGGTGGCATGTCGTGCATGTTACTGTAAGCTCATGGAGACTGGAACTGAGGTCTAAATTGTGCTTTTACAGCTAAACTGTCCTTTGTGTCCGTCTCACTGCTTATATTGTGTGATTTTAATTACACCACTTTTCGTTGAAAAACCCTCTCTGTTCACCCTCCAGCTGACACCATTAGGCCCATATAACAGCACATTTCAACACCAATTATTAGAATAAAGCCGCCATCATATTTCTAGGTACGTTTGGCTCTATAAAAAAAACGATCGGCCGAGATTTGTTTCCACACAAACAATATTTAATTAAACCACCTGCCCCATCAATCAGAATGGATTGTTGAATTAAGGATGGATCCATTCAGGAACGCTCGCTCTGTCCCCATGCAGGTACTATGAAACCGGCAGTATCAAACCTGGAGTCATCGGTGGCTCCAAACCAAAGGTTGCAACTCCAAAGGTGGTGGATAAGATCGCTGACTATAAGCGGCAGAATCCCACCATGTTCGCTTGGGAGATAAGGGACCGACTACTGGCCGAGGGCGTCTGCGACAACGACACTGTCCCCAGCGTGTCATCCATCAACAGGTAGGTGGAAAATAATATGTATGCCTACATTGTTATATTCTTAAATTATGATAATTATCAACGCGGGATTCCGCGCTGAAATGACTTAAGCGAATGTTCGAATGCGCAAAATGTGCGTGAGCCACAATCTTAAAAGGAAAAAAATCAAATGAGCCGTCGGGACAAATCATCTCTGAAATGTCCCGATCGCACCCCGAGCTGATTTGTAGTCCTCCCCGATCCGAGTCCACCCGGGTGGTCTCACAGGTGCAATTCAATCTCCTCCACGATCACAGCGCAGCGCGGGGCGCCGAGGCCGGAGCCACGAAGAACCGCATCTGTCTCGATAAAAAACCGATCGATAGCGCGTAACCAGATCCAGAGGCGGGAGGAAATACCCGACGAAGTCGCTCGATACGCGGACCACACTGCGACAGAGGCGGCGGCACGCGGCAGCCTCTTCATTGCTCTGTTTTTCCCACAGCGAGGTGAATTAGGCTCACGTCGGATGGACACATCTAAATGATTCCGATTTTAGTCACGACCTTAATCAAACCGGTATCAACGTGTATCGTGCGTATCGTTCGAGTATGCGGAATTAATTTAGATATTACACAGAAGCCCCCGCCGACCTAAAACAGTGCTGATCCTCTGGGTAAATGGACTATAAAAGAGTTTCTGTTCTAAGGAGCTAAAGCAGCAGACACCCTACACCTTCGCCTTTCCACACGAAGCGGGACAAAGTATCTTTAGACAGAGGCCGCCGGTGAAAAAAAAAAGAGTGCATGTGTGCAACGTGAAGGGGAAAAAAAAGCCCCACAGAGCCTACGAGTGATGAACTTTGGTTAGGAGGCACTGTTCCAGAGAGCTGGTCATCGGCATTACATTTTAATGAGCTGGAGAGTCTCATAACACATCCAGCAAAATGTAGGAGATGGAAGGATCTTTATCCCCCAAAAAAAGGAAAAGAGAACGTCATATAATAAAATCAGGCTGTTATGGAAATGTTGGTTTCAACAGGTCTTTGGGCGCCTTTCACCTGTTGTTCCTAAAACCCAAAAGAAAATGTATTTAAGGATGTGCGGAGGCAATGTTTAACGTGTTACAATTACATGTCGGACCATCTGCTGGGTTTGAGCTGTGTGCAACAGAACTAATGGGAGAAATGTTTTCCTTTAAAACTGAGTAGGCTGCACATTAATGATTAACACCGGGGCTTGTGACTGCATAAAACAGTATTCTAAATTCCTGAAAAATGGCCTGACAATTTACGACATAAGAAACAGCGGCTCTCGCTCTTGAAAAAACGTGATTTTCAGGCTGTTGTAAATGTCTGCGGTTGTTTTCTGTTTACCACTGTTGCTGTTAAAGGGGGATTGTGAAAGGTAAGTCTATAGGAAAGTGAGGGTAGGAAGGACGCGAGGGAGCCACGGGGAGAGAGAGGCACAGCGGACCCCTGGTGGTCTTTGTGGTTAAGGAGATGACCTTTGCTCCGTCGACTAAAGAGGATGTCCCGGCTTTAAGCACATTTTTACAGCATGAATTATTAAAGATTACACAGAGGCTGGGTTGCACTTTGTTTTGTTGCCGCAGAGAGAGGACAGAGGCGTATACCCATAAGGTCCTCAGCGACTTTCAATCATATCGATCCCCATTTAAATCTTTCTTTGGGATTTCTTTTATTTTATTTTTTTACAACACCCAAACCCCAAAGTCGTTAATTCACCCATCTAAATTGCTTATTCGATATCAACAACATAGACTTGAAACAAAGTCCTTGAATTTATGAGGCTCCCTTGAGTCATCAGGTCAGATGACTGCGGTGGTGGCGAGATGTTAGAAATTCAAATAAAATATTGATGTGTGTTTTCTGAAGGAGGCTGCTAGCCTTTGTTGGCCTGCCTGAAGGAGGAAGGACACATGAGATAGTGAGGGGAATGAAAACAGTCTGATGTATATTCTTGCCCCCGAGGAAGTTAACCCCATAGTTGCCTGATTCGGAGTTGATAGCTCATTGCTGGATGTACATGTGATTGGTGACCCGGCCTCATCTGCGCGCTGTAGAACCTTTGTTTTTATCTCGCCTAAGTGAGAGAGCTTCCACGTGGGATTTCTGTCAGTACGCAGCGCTGCCTGTTATTCACTGATCTCGCGTTCGTCCGTCAATCAAAAGATTACCATAGTGATGGTTTAATGTAATGTGATCATGTCCCATAAGAGCTAAAGCTGAGCTTGTGTAAATCCCACTGTACCTTTACAACAATACTCAAATTTCGGATTACTTCAGCCATAATAATTCTTTTGAAAAATGTAGGATTATCGTGACGTTTTATAATTTGCTTATTTATTTCTGAGCGCACCAAAGTTTAAAATACATCGGATGTGGCAGTGGACTCCGGCCGGGTCAATAAGATGCTATTGCCTTCCTGTCACATGTAATTTATAGATCACCATTTGCATTTGCTGTTCCTCTCCACCATTTGTCGTCAACTTTTCTATCCCGGAGTCCCAATCAATAGGCTCTGATCCTCAGTGAGACGCGAGGATTCCCGTGTGCTACACTGACCAAAGAAAAAAAGACTAAACAGCAGAAAAGACACCAGAGAGGTGACAGAGAATACAGGCGGGGAAAACAAAAATTCAGTGAAGAAGAGCGAAGACGGAAAGACAGAAATGATTTGCTTGAAGGACAGACATTGTAAGTACAGTAAACCGGAGAGCGCGTTGGACGGTGGGGGAAATAAGAAAAGAGGAAAAGGCTGAGAGAGAGAGAGAGAGGAGTGAAAGATCAGGTTTGAGCGATGGAGAGAGAAGAGGGAGAGCGGGGAGAAGAAAAGAGAGCGGGGAGCAGGAGAGGGAGATTATTAGAGCTGGCCAGGTAAAGCCAGTGAAGCTGATCATTGAGGTGAATTGATGTGATTTCATGCTTTGTTTGCAAGATCATTCAGACCAAAGTGCAATGGAGACTTTCCCGCCACATCACATCTTACTGGTATGGGGACTTTATCATATTTCTAACCTCAGGATCCAGCTAGATTGAATCCACAATCTCGGGGGGGCGGCGCCCCCATTCAGCCTCACACAGGAGAGGAGAGATTGCCCCTAAAGCCCTGAGATTGGCTATTTGTGACAGGGGCCCGAATACCAGGATACAAGCCGGCAAACGACGGCGCACTTGAACATGCACGGGTGTAAGTGGACGCAAACGCGCCCGCCTTTTCGAGCGTCCCAGGGCACGGCGGGCCGGCGGCGTGAAATCCCCACGCTCTGGAAGCGGTATTGATTGATCCGTGTCTGTTGTTCACTTTGCCAGGATTATCCGCACCAAAGTCCAGCAGCAATTCCACCCGTCCCCCGACGGATCCGTCACGCCTCTGTCCACGCCGGGCCACACCATAGGTAAGCGTGAGCCGAGCTGCGTGCAGATCACGAGGCGGGTCGGGGCTGCCGAAGCAGGAGGAATAAAGAAACATTTTCACATACACATGCGGTGGAAAATAAACACACAATTGAGACGCATGCGTGCCGCACAAATACTAACTCGGCGCTCTCTTTGTCAGTTCCCAGCACGGCCTCGCCCCCGGTGAGCAGCGCCTCCAACGATCCCGTAGGATCCTACTCCATCAACGGCATTCTGGGTATCCCCCGCTCCAACGGCGAGAAGAGGAAACGAGACGAGGGTGAGGGAGACACATGAGACCCTTTTTGTTTTTCATCCCTTTAATTCTCTCCATCACTTGTCTCCTACTTGTTTTTTTTCCCCCTCCTCCTGTACTTGAAGAAGATGGCATTCATGACAGCGCTGCGGCCAAGTGTGTTTCTGTGTGCCGTCTCCAGTGACTTGTTATGTTGTTTATCAGGCAGGGTGAGCGTTGAGAGAGTGTTGCGATTCAATCGGCTTTTGGATGCCCAGCGTTTTACCATACGCCCACAGAGCTGCGTCTCAATTGTATAGCTCACTCAGAAGTACTGTAGATATCGCACATGGCTGTCATACAACTGTAATCCCCCCCCCTTGGCCTCGACGCTATCAGTGAATCATTATAAACTGCTCACTGGCTCACTATAAACTGCATTCTTTGCTAAAATATATTTCATTCTGAATCACAGTAAAATATTCAGTCAGCAATTATTTTTGTAAGATAGTATAATAGGGTATTAGGACAAAAATAGCCATAGACATACTTAAGATTAAGTGGAAGGCGATCCGGCGAGAGCCAGAATTTCTCATCCCTACGCCAGGCAAGCGAGTGGACACACTGCCTGAGGGCTAATAGATTATCGGTTTTGCAAACAATTGGCTTTTTTAATGCCTATGAATTAACATGTCCCCGGTGGAGGCCGGAACAGGTGTAGGAACAGACCGGTGGAGGCAAGGAGGGGGCGACGTTTGTGTGTGTGTGTGTGTGTGCGCATGTACATGTGTGATTCTGTTGTGCTCCTTTGAGGGGGCTGACGGGATGAAATTGTTGAAAATGATCTCAAAGAGCACTCATCAAAACAGGCTACCTGCTTTTATGCTTCTGTCCCTTTAGTTCTCTGGACCGGCAACCACTTGGATGGAAGGAAAATTGGACATTGTGAGTTGAAAACCTTCTCTTTTGCTTCGATCAACCCGATCACAATGCTTTCCTCTCGGTTACTGTCTTTGCTCTTCCAGGGTTTTTGAGTTTATGGGGGACGAGGCAGGGAAGATTTTTCCGATAAATAATCTTCTGAGAAATTAAAATGCATTAAGCCAAAGTGGCTGTCAGGGCGTGCACTTCTATATAAAGTAATGCGCAGTGTTGCTATTTTAGTTGCTATTTTATGGATGTCAAACAGCCAGATGCAGTTTATTTTTCAATAATTCTATATTTAGCCTTAATTTGGACTATTATGTCTGTTGTAATTTATAATTCATGTTCATTTTCAATTGACCACATTATTACAAATATTTGCCGAATTGTTGTTAGTCGACAAAAGAAAGCTGCAGACAGACAGCCTACCTGCGCAAGCTTAAACTATCTGTCACAGCGGAAAGTTACCTACAGCAATCTTACCTATAGTCAAATGAATCTGCTTCATCAAAGTAAATATATAACAGAGTAAAATAATACATTACAAAACAACGGGAGAACTAGTTTCCATGTTCTACAAATGACTGTGAGTTGCATGTCTGTAAACCAATCGAAGATTTAAAGCGCCACGCGTTTTGTGCCTGCATTGTGATTCCGAGATGAACATGAAGCGAAGCATTGCGTAGCTCTCGTACTGCTGGTGCAGTGACGCTGGCGTTTAATCCCAGTGTGGCTGAAGTCAGCGTTTGCCCTTTGAGGAAGAAAAAGGTCCCTATTAGTGGAGGGCTGTTGAGATAATGTAGTGTGACACGCGTTATGTACACCGGGTCCTCGTAAGACGAGCTTCAGGGACGCAGGTGCCATCAGAGCCATTAACCTGTCGTCGTCGTCGTGTGTTATTTCAAATTTAAAGTCGCATGTAGCAGTGGACGGTTTGGGTGAAGACAGTTGGAGGTAAAAAGAGAGATGGAGGAGCAGCGGGTTAAAAGGTGTTGCTGTTGAGCGAGGGTTGATTTGTTTTAGGATTTGTGCACGCGTGCAGATACAGGATACACACCTGTGCACATAAATGTGTGTGTTAAGTGTGTCCGTTTGTAACTTTGTAGCTTCAGATGCTCTTCACACGGGGAACATTGTGACATTTAAAAGAATTTGCAATTCTGCAGAGAAAAGCTATTAATTCGCAAATTAACATCTCTCCTCTCCCCCCTCTGCCCTCCCTCCCTCTATCTTGGATGTGCAAGCTATCGAAAAGACAAAAGAAATAGCCTTAAGGGGGAGGGGGGGGATGTGGGGGGGAGTCTCTGCCCTATCTGTGGAGAGATTGGTTTGCATGTCTGCAAGCAGCGATACCAATTATGCCAGTGCTGGGAGAATGCGTCTCAATGTGCCCCCCTCCTTTGCCCCCCCCCCCCCCCTGAATCTATCCGTAGCCAGATTTATTTGTATCTCATTACAGGAAATGGAATGTTGTTCCTGCCAAATGCATTAATAGTGAAGTGGGGAAATTAGCCTGTTGTACAGCGTGCTCTCACTCAGTCACTGAGACCCGAGGTTGAAGTGGAAGCCAAGAAAAGACGGACACGCGATTGGTTGACGACTCCTGTGCGATTGTCAAAAAGTGCATTAAAGAGCACGGAGTCCATGAACTCATTGATCACAAGTTCGGACCTTGCAGTTGTTTCGCAAAGAGGTTCTTGCGCCGGTTACCTCTCTGATTCATTCTCTCTTTGGAGGACCGGCCGTTTTTAATGGCGTTGTAGCCGTATGTAAATTCATCCGTGTCTTAATGCACCATGACAGGTTGCTGCTGACCTTGCTGCTGTATGCCGTGCGCAGGTTGACGTGACCTACGTACGTTTCTCTGAGTCCTGGATGGAGCCCAGTGGAGCTCTGGGGAGGACAGGCAGTAGGGAGCTTACAGTGATGAATTAGATGGAGAAACCAAAGGTCATAACTTGTGATTGTAGCGTGGGATGTGTGTGTAGAAGGAGCCGATAAGTGTGTGAGCAGGGAGAAAAAAAAACCCAGGGCATAGCAGCTTGTTCATTCATAACATAAAAGAATGATCGCACGCAGCAGCCAGAGTCATGTCCACCTTGTTCAGTAGCGTGAGGAAAAATGAATACAGTTGCTGTTTTGATTTGGTCAAATTTGATGTTTGGCCCTTGTGGAGATCGTCCGTTGTCTATCCTTTAACACATATGAGCCATTGGTGGAGTTTGAATCAGTTAGTATATGGATTTGAACCCAGGCCTACACTGGTTGGCTAGTCAAGCCAGTCCATGACAATGAGTCAATAGAGGATCACTTTAGAAAATAAATGCATCCAGAGCGAGGCGGAAATAAATGGAATCATGAGCGCCATGATGGCCCTGATGGGGTGAGAGTGAGAGAGAAAAGCCCGGGTTTGAGAGGGGCCACAGAGCGTAACATAGAGACAAGTAGCTGTTAGGGACCCGACAGTAGAGGAGGACACAAAAGGGTCCACATTGCATTTCTCCCCCTCCTCCTTCTCTGCTCCATCTCTGCCCGTTCTTTCTCTTCAGCATTACATTTCTCCTCCTAACATCCCGTCTGCTTTCCACGTCGCGCGAGTTTGTATTCAATAACACAGCTTCGTGAGACCCGACGTGTTGTTGTAAACAGTATACGAGGAGATCCGTCACCAAAAATATAAGGAGAGTTTATTCACTCAATGGAGAGGAATCATGTCAGAGAAAAGTCAATTACGGGCAGCGATGCCGAGAATTAATGGAGCGGCGCACTACTCAGCTTGAGGAGGGAGAAAAGGCAAGAGCAAAGAGGGGATACGTTAATTGCATTTCCACAAATACTCGCCACACAGGGTGGCAACACTAAACGGCAGAGTGGTCCAGAGGAGGGTAGAGATGTAAGCAGAGGAGGACAAAGAAAACAAGACAGAAATTGTTATTCCTAAAGAGCGAGATGTCAAAAATATTCTCATATTATGTCACTTTTTCTAAATTACTTGTCTTTTTTAAACAAGAGCTGTAATGGTATTTAAAATGATTGGAACACAAACCAAGTAGTTGTTTTGCTTTAATGAAATACATTTTCTTTCTAGTTTGTGGCGCAGTAACCTACAATATTCTTTTTCTAAAGCCTTATTTCAAGACTATATCTGAAAAGTTTACAACACTGTCAAATATTGATTAGATAAAATAGCAATTTTTCACGCAGTGACCAAATACAACTTTCATTTGGCGGTTGGTTACGTGCACAATGGCTCCGGTCATGTTAATGCTCAAGGACACTTTGACATATAGGTGGAAGAATGCAGGATGAACTCCAACTGTCTCTACCAGCTCATCTAAAGCCCCCTCTTCTCATTATAATAAACTCACCAACTGTTACCAAATAGTCATGTAGTCAAGATTATTTATTTATTACAAACCTACCGCTTTGGCTTGTGACTGAGAATTTAAATGAAAGTAAATAAAATAACGAGACGCAGACTCACTGCCAAGTGAGTGCAAATACCAAATAAGCATCGGCGTGTCTGCTGACAGTCAGTACACTGGCTGCTGGTGCTAAATCGAATTAATAAAGCTCTTAAACACGCAACAAACATAACAGGATCTTAACAGCCATGGCGGTGTTGCTGCGTCTCTCCAGCTCGCTCCCCCAACGCCACCCCGCCCGCCACATCTCCTTTCCGCTCCAGAGGTTTCATAAATATAGCTGGCTCACAGGGAAGCAGCGTTCATCCTCTCGGGTATACCAGTGGGTTTGCGTTCTTGTTTCTTTTCTTTTTTGTTCAAGCATAGCTGCGTTTTTTAAAAACATCACCAAATGATCTACAATTTGCGATAGCGTCGTCTCGCCTATCTGCAAAAGACTTGCTTCCCTCTGATCTAAAAAAAAAAAAAAACCTTGTGACACTGATTTACGGAGCGAGCCGGGCAATTTGTAGGAATTCATTTGCCTTTCAAACAAGCCCTCGCCTCTAATCTCCGCTGAGTTATCTTATCAGAGGGACAGGGGAGATGAAAGAGGGACATAAAGTGCCACCAAGCCACCGCAGGACGTTAACATCCCCCGTAGAGACAAAGCCAAACAGCTTTTGATACCATTGTGCTCCGCCTCACAGTCACTACTGACATCGGCTCTCTGTGAGCGTTTGTACAAATGGCTGAAAGAGTACAAGTGTGCACATTAGAAAAGGATCCATTTATCACAATATCGTTCAACAAGCAGAGTTGCAGTTTCGTGTCCATTGAGTTTTGTGCAAAGTCCACTTTAATTGTTTGTCATCATTATGTATTATATAACTTTGACACAACGAGTTCAGAAGGCTTCCGTCTATTTAGGCCCGTCAGAGGAAGTATTTTCCCATAAGCACATGGTTTTAGGGGTTGTGTGTGAACGTCACCAGGTCTTGTTTTTATCTTGGTTTGTGTTCTAACACTTTGGTGTTAAAACACAGAGTGCTGTGACACTGATAAGAGGATACCTGCTGAGACACCCAAAGGGGTTGAAGAAACACTGATAAAATAGAGCTAGCCAGACACACACACACACACACACACACGCACACACACACGCAAACCATCTGACAGTCGGGCTTCACACTCCACTTGACACGCTCACTGTCAAAGGATGAATCTGATTTATTGCAGCCATCTTATGATATATGTCAAACATGAACCTCTAATGGCAAATTCTGAAAATAATTGATTTACTATTATTATTTCCATTTACAGGCCAAATCAATTTGTCTTTGACCACATACAGTTGAAATATATTTTTATATTATTAAAGGGTTAGAAAAGAAAAGAATGGTGTGTCTTACATGACTAAAACTAAGGCTTGTTTCACACACGTTTTGTTGTAGTTTATTGTTAGTTATTGTATTAAAATTAATGTTAATCCATTTGAAGATTCATCAATTGGGTTTAAACCTTTCCTATTGAGGCTTTAGTTTGCATGGTTGCATAGTTCCCATCACATGTCTTATGATGGGAATCCAGTTCAGAAAGCTTGATAAAGTGTGTTTGGGGGGATTCGGAGTACACGCATGAATCTTTTGTCTTTTTATTCAGACCAGCTGATAATTAATGACTCTATTTTCTTCTGTACCACAAACAACAATTGAGTTCCATACAGCAACACTAATGATGCAACCCTGAACCCAAGGGAGCATTTTGAGAGGAAGAAAAAATAAATGGAAACTGCTAAAATATTTGGTTAACGGATGGTTGGAGAAAAACATGTTGCAGGAGGGGGAAAAAACAGATTCCTTCATAAATGCTAGACTAAGCTAAAGTCAATATATTTTAGCTGAGAAGCACACACATGTACACATATCCTTCCATCTACACGCACACACCTCTATTCCATTCTCCCCGTGGATCTATTTCTTGGTGCGAGTCGGGTTCATCCTCTGGCCTCAGCCATTGAAAAAAGGTCAAGCAGCCGAGCAGAATGGCAATAACGCCCCTGAAATGGTACCATCAGTGGAACATGATTGATCAATTGAATTCCATAGCACAGAAAAATGTGGGATTAAGTAGAGTATTATACGCACAATGAGTTGAGGCATGATGTTCATTCCAAGTTCATTTCGCCTCCCTCCTCTGCTGGCGGATCAGGCAATCAATAGCGGCCTTGCATATCATATATCACCGCCGGCTCGCCCAGGAGAGAACATAATCTGCTGCAAATTTAGAATGACAGATTTGTATGGGAGCTAAAGCCCTCATCCGCTGTTGGCGGCGGGGTGCGGTGAGGAAGGGAGGGCGGCTGGAGGCAGGCAGCCTAGAGGGAGCTTCTCTGGATGCTGGCTGGAGGTTTTAGCCGCAGATTTCTTTCTCTCTTTTTTTTTTCCAGTCTTCAGGACTTGATGAGTGAGCAGAGGGAAAGCTGCAGCGGCGGCGGCGCGGGCTCCCCGGCCCAGTTGATAGGGTCAGAGATCAGGAGAACGAGGGAAGCATGGGCTCATTTGTTTATATAGAGTGTGACCGTGTGAGGAAATGCATACGCTTGCCCCCCGACGACCCCCCCCCGTCCTCATTCAGCCCCCCGTGCCGTCCCCGGTCCATTCTGTTTTCCAGAAGACAGGCAATGGTTTGGGGGATGGAGGGAGAGAAAGGGAGACAGAGAGAGGAAAGGGTAATATGTTCAGGAGGAAATAGTTCAGTTCAATAATGTCCCTCCATTTCCCGCTGGCAGAATGAGAGGCTCTATATGTAATCGCCAGCCCCGCTTTCTCCTCCTGAAATACACGCTCTCCCCTACAAGTATATATTTGCACTGAAGGTAATCCATCAATTACCGTGGACCTATCACATGCTGACCGCCACGAGGAGGAGAGGTGTGGGAGGGCGGGGGGGGGGGGGCCGTAAGGAGTAGGGTTTCGAGAGAAGAGGCTGGCTACAAACAGAGTGGGATAAAAAAGCAGACATGTGGGGTATAAAAACAAACAAACAATCTCCTTATGCTTAGCTCACATTGCCGGTATGCTAGAATAACAATGGGTGAAATGACTGGCGCTACGCCCTGATGTAGAATGTCATCGCCTTCCCTTCTCCCCCCCCCCCCTCCGTCTTTCTCTAGATGGCTCCGATGGCTCAGGTCCGGGCAGCGACTCTCAGGGCAGTGTGGAGAGTTTAAGGAAGCACCTGCGAGCGGATGCCTTCACCCAGCAGCAGCTGGAGGCCCTGGACCGCGTGTTTGAGCGTCCCTCTTACCCTGATGTCTTCCCCACTTCAGAACACATCAAACCCGAACAGGTTGGCCCCCGCTTTCTAGACGTTGACATGTACAGCTTTGCCCCGCCCATCGTTGCTTTCTTTCTGTCTTTCTCAAAGGAAAAATGCTTCAGATTTCATTTTAACATTACATAGAGAATAATCTGGCACACGTACTGATCAAGTGGAGCGGAGGATCTGTGCAACTTCTTGCTCCGGGTGCCTCACAAGCCCACGGCCGGTTTCAGCGGATAACCTTTATTTACATGCATTAGACTGTTAAACAACAAGAGACTATTAATTTTTGCATTGGAACTCTATTTGGGTGCCCGTGCAGCCTGAGCAGGGCCCTAATTGAGTTCATTTTCATCTCTGTGCAATCGTGGGGAATTACAGCGGCGATAAATCAGAGGGACAGCCCCTCAGCCGGCTATACAGCCCCTAATGCAGCTAATTACCAAAGTGATTTCTACGGCAAGATCAATACCAAAACGAATTGGAAATGACTTGCAATCACAAAGAGTGGAGGAGAAGGTATTAAAAAGGCGAGAGGAAGGTGGTGGGGGGGGGGGAGAAAAACGGCATCGGAATGGTCCAGAAAAATCAGTTTTAATTTAATGTAATATTAATCAGGCTGCGTTTCACTCTTTCCTTGCACCTCCATTTTTCTCCCTGTTTTCAACACCCCCCTCCTTTTCTTAAACTGGTGAAAAGGTGGAATATTAGGCTATTAAGGGCTTGTCTGGTGTCTGCATCGGGGCATTAAAAAGCCATTTTGAAGAGGCCAGGCTGAATGGGCCTCATCCCTCCCACACTTCTGGCAGCCATGTGGTCGGGTCATTCAGACTTCTCTGTGGTTGCCACTCGCCCCTCCGCCCAGCGCTGCCCAGCCCTGCCCACAGCCCATCTGCATGACAAAATGGCTCTTGTGCTGCTGAGGCCCAGCGGAATAGAGAGGAACATCCAGCCTAGTGCCAGAGAACAGTTGTAAGCAGACAATTAGAGTTTATCTGGGATAGAGGCAGACAAGACTGAGGTCACCAGCTCACCCCTGTGGGACCCCGTCCCATTGAGACAAGCAGATGCACACACACACACACACACACACTCCCTCTGGCACGAACCCTCGCAGACAAAAATGCGTGCACGCACACTTATCCTTTCAAAGAAGATCAGGTCAGGTCAGGAAGTGTCATCTCATTGACAAACAGGATTCATCACAGCTGCCACAGTCTCAACCTGTGATAAATACTTGGTGGTCGGTTGATCTTTGCATGAAGTGCAGTAGAGTGTTATAAAAATATTTTGATCATAAAAGTGTAAACCATGAGAGATGGCGGCACACTAAACTGTTGAAGAGTTATGTAATGGAAGTATTCAATATAAAGTACAATTGGAAGTATAAAAGGCTTATTATTATTGTATTATATATGATATTAACTCAGTTTTATGTGTTCATCCTAGAGGCAAAGCACAAAGGTTGATTTTTGAGGTTGTACGCCCCTTTAAAAATCCACACCACATGTCCCTCCTGTAACAAAGCCCTGAATGTCTCCTCCCTTGACTGGTCACAGGGATGACTGCAGTGGAGCACAAAGAGCCAGCTGACACCCCGTCCTTTCACTCCTCTCCCAATCCCTCTCTCTCATCCCTCTCTCTCATCCCTCTCTGCCTTCTTCTCAGACAAGAACTAATGCATGCATACATCATGGGTCGTGGTAAAGCACGGGGAGCGGGGTCGGGACGGGTCGGCGAAGGGAGAGGTGGGGGCGAGGGTGGGCTGATACTAACAGGAAATATTCAGAAGGAAATACAGTGAAAGGATCGCAGACAGCTCCCTCCGAAAGACAAGGGGTTTCCTTCAGAAATATCTAACATATAACAGGGAAATCTGTTCTCAATCTCACACCCGAAGCGGGCTCCCGAGCCTTAATGGCATCATCTAGTGGAATGTGAGATTCTTTGTTATAAAAAGTTTGAATTGCTCTTTATGTTCGCCATCCATGCTCACATGTGCGTTTCCCCCGCTGACACATTTTTTTATGTTTTGTGTATTTGTCTACAGGCGAATGAGTACTCACTCCCGTCCCTGAACCCTGGCCTGGATGACGTGAAGCCGAGCCTTTCCTCCAGCGCCAGCGCCGACCTCGCCTCCAGTGTCTCCCAGAGCTACTCTGTTGTGACAGGTACAATCTGACTCACGCTAGATGGTTCCCTAAAAGAGTACGTGCAGCTGCAGCAGGTCAAAAACATCTGCAACAAGGTGGCTGAACAATGACAACACAACAAAAACGTGTATTTGAAGTATTTCTTCTGCTGCGATTACTTTCGATAGGGTTTCCTGGTATTTAGTTAGAGTATAACCAAGCACATCAAACTCTAGTCAATTTTTAAAATTCTGCTTCCCATTTGAAAAATTCCACTCTGTTGTCTGTCACCAGCCAAACAAGTGAATCTGATAAACTATTTAGCAAATAATCTCATTCCTCATCCTCCTGATAAAAAAATTCAGTCCAATTTAATCACATAATCATCATGTGCACACCATTGCAGCTATAAATGAGACTATACTTCACATGAACTTACTGAAAAGGCCGTGGACCAGATTCCCCTCAAGTCCCTTTATCACACTTAAGGGTGCTTATAATGATCAGTTCTTTGGTCCTTCATTTTTTAGCTTTTTCCCTCATAAATCATATAATAACTAATAGTAAATACAGCATAATTCATTTAATTAACTCTTTTTAATATGTGTTTCTGGTCAACTCGGCCTGCGCTCTGTAAAAATACCATCTGGACATCGAAGCAGACAAGATTTTGACTGCTGCTCCCTGCTGGTGCTCACATTCCCTGGCGATATTAAATCCTTATCACCCAATGAAAAACGCTCTTGCAGCCACTTTTTGAGACACTCTGTGTATTTATTTCTGAGGGACAGAGCGAGGCGATATATCATCTGAGCCCATTAAATCCTACAGGCCTTCCACTCGCTGCTCCTAACTGGCTATTGCGTTAGCCCCGATTGGCCCGCTAACAGATTGACTGGGAGCACTTCTCATAAGAGACAGCTGCTGTTCTCGCCGCGACACCGCGTTGTCATCAAAGGCTATGATAGCCTGTTGATTGACAGCGGCTGGAATGGCACCGGGGCTGGCTGGCTGCCTCACGCCGTGGTGAGAGAGAGAGAGAGAGCGAGAGAGACCCAGTTACAGATCAGACAGTGAAACACACTCGGAAATTTACAGGGGGCTTTTTACCGACTTATGAACTGACCGCTGTTTTTCAGAGTAACTTCCGCCGAGCGCCAACAGGTAACGGCAGATGCGGTGTATTGAATATCGTGTAGTATTAACTATCTGTATCCTGTAACCCACACTGACCCGCCCTCTATTACGCTGCGGCTTCTTTCGCTCCGCTGTCGAGGTTGATGGCTGTCTGGTTAATTGAAATTTGGTTTCAATGTGGCTGCTGAGCCTCTTTCCCCCGGAGAGGCTTTGGGTTAACCGATGGACGCACTGACTGGAGAGTAATAGGCCGGCCTTTTAATAAAACACCCATAATTATGCATTGGGCATCAAAGTCAATGAGTCCATTGTGCGTTTGCGCGCGTGAAGGAGGGAGGGAAAGAGGGCGAGTAAGTAAAGAAGAGGACAGCATGATTGAAAACTGCAGTGGCCCTTCTCAAATGATCCCCACAGTCCGGCCCCGGACCCAGACACTCAGCTGTAGGAAAAGAAAGAGCCCTTTTTTACTCCTGAATGTGGGCGGTAGGTTCGCTACAGGGAGTTGGGCCTCAGGAGAAGAAAGGTGTGTTTTTGTCTTTTATGCCGGGCTCCTCCTATGAAAGCGGTCTCGCTCTGGGGAGCACACTCATAGCAGGTGGCCCCTCAAGCCACCTGGGGGACCAGGGACCTCCTAAGGCGAAATATGACGGCCACAAATTGCATAATGAGGAGCCAATCTAAGAAAACTTTTCTCAGAGTGGAACATGAAAACGAACCTCAGCATTAGAAAGTGATTATTTTGAGCACCAAATTAAGTCAGAAGTAATATCCAGTGAGCTTTTATTACTTAATTTTAATGACTTTGCAAAGAAATGCATGAAGCGTTTGGTCGGATGTAGGTTGTTGCTGCATAATATTATTTTTTCTGCCATTAGCGCGTGTAAATAGGAATGTATGCCAAGGCTGAAAAATGCTAAATTACCTTACACACTTAGGCTTGGATCCAATTATCAATAAATTATGCTCTCATACTGGAAGGAGCCACAAGATTATATTCATTCTTTAAATGTTTTCTGCTCCCAATTAAAATTCATACAGTTATTGATCTTGTTGATTTTTATGTCCTGAAATTTGCATAATCTATTAAAGATGAATGATTAATGAAGTGCTCAGCTTTCCATTCCAAGGGCGCTAGCAAAGGTAATGTCGGCCATCTTTTGTGTCCTCTGTATATCCTGATGTGTGAAAAAGACATCTAAATCAGAGAGCTAAATCAAGGGCACTGAAACATCCCGCTGGGGATTATTAAGAAACAAGTCATTTAGAAATTATTGAGATTTTCTCCAAGTAAATCCAAACTGTGAAGCAAATATTTTGTGAAAGAAGCGTACACATCGTATACAAGGAAATTATAATCTTATAATATAAAACGTTACAAATGAAGCCTCTTGTCAATTTGACAAGAAGATATTAAATGTCACATATATCTGTGACAATTAACATGTCGTATTTTTGCGTAACAGACTGGTTAAGAAGTAAACGGGTATCTTAGTTCCGCGTGTTCACGAGCCGTAGTGAAACTGTCGTGTCCAGTGGAGGAACACTGTGAACCGTTCACTGCGTCCATTGGAAGAACAGCCTGTCATGATTAACTCCTGGTCTCTGGCTCTTGTCTAATAATACGTGAACACACTCAGTAACATAAAGCATTCGGTTTCATCTCGACCGCAGTTGCCTTAATCCTCGACACTCAGTATGTAGAACAAAATACAATACAATATTTCTTCTCATCAAATAGGGTTTTCCCAATGAGCGTACACTCGTCTGTGCAATGGCTTATCTCCATAATCACTCTCACCAGAGCCTGTGGGGACGCTGGGTGTAAGTGGGCACCCCTCTGACCTACTTAAACTCCAGCAGATGCAAAGATGCAGCACTTTTCAGCCACTCATATATATATATATATATAACCTATATATATATATATATATATATATATATATATATAAATTCATCTAGCTCGCTCTCCCTCATCTCAACTCTGCTAGTAAGGTGCAGGAAAAAAAAAAAAAAACATTTTCTCTGCGATTAATTTCTGCTGAAATGTAGACCTCATTCTGAGTCTATTTTGTGTCTTGGCGGTACCAGCTCTTCTCTGCTGGGTGGGAAACAGCTGAACCTGTGGTGCCTGGTGTGTGGCTTTGGTGACAAAACGGCGGGTCTCAGCTCAGTTAACGCCTGGGAAACCGAGCTCTGAAATTAATGTTTATATCACCCAGCGCACTAACCTTTGAGCACAAATTTGATAATGACTTACTTTGAACCCGTTGACTGAGATTTCAAGCTATTTGGCACATTAGCTATTATTTACCGACAACTGTCTGCAGCCTTTTAGATATTATGTTATTGTGCTCTTTACCGGGTCTAGAGGTTATAAAGGACCACCTCTACGATGCAGGAGAGTTGAGGCTGTACTTTTATATTTTACTCCTCTCCAAATGACTTTACTGGGATCTTGAACATACTGGAGAAAAAAACAGTTCTTCGTAGATCGCGTATCAGCCTTTGAAAACAACAGTTCTGCCAGTTAAATGTTTTGTGTACCACAGTTCCTTGGAGTATGTTTAAAAATGAAAAGCTCACTAGAGAAGGCTGTTGTAGCTATATCTGGACGCATCACACCCAGGACCGATCTGAACAGTCCATTTCTATGGTTGATGGGGTCTGCAGACGTGGTATCAGGGGTGGAGCAGAGACAGATGTTGGAGAACTCTATAGCGTCCACTCTCTCAGAGACGTGTTTGCCGGGGAGGAGAGTCCCCAAGGACCCTGAGTTTATCTTCCATCTCCATCATCAGGGCCTGTGATTTGACAGGCTCCCTCTGCCCGCGCTCTGCCTCGTCTCCAGGACAATAAGCAACACCATGTCTGATTAGTTTCAGAGTTCAGTGGTCTTGAACGCGGCGTTTGTATCGGTTTGTTGTTGCATCGTAACCACTGTCTGTTTGACAACGGCTGCTCGGGCGCTGAGAAAACAGAAGCCTGCGAGGCCTAAGTGTGTAGGAAGTGTCCGTGTAAACACACCTGGGTTGAGTTTGGTGTTTGTTAACATCAGCCTTTAACTTCTGGTTGCTCTTCTAAATGGTTATGTTCTCCATCCGTTGTTGAGTCTTACTCATGTTGAATACATATTGATTTACACTATCTGCTGCGTGGTCCATAGTATATCAGATCCTGATGGTGGATGGAGGTTGTTGTGCACCCCAATCAGTAACTGCACTTTTCAAAGCTGTTTCAACTTCAAAGACGTGTTAGATATAATTAAATGAAGAACAGAACTGTGCACCAGTCATTTGCCTACATGTGGACATTTTTTCTAATAAATCTGCGACATACTTGTACAGTGCATGTGACGGACTTTAGGCCGGTGCAATTACTGCAAGTCCCACTCATTAGATTATTTCTGTTCATGCCCGAGATCCATGGCAACCAGTTTTTAATGATATGATCAAAAAAAGACTTCCATAGTTAAACATTGCACTGTTCCCTCCATAACAATGCCATTTGTCTCAATAAGATGAGAGCATTGTGTGTAATTGCTCTACCTCTGTCTAAATGTCCATTTACAGCTGTCACAGAGACAAAGAGATTTGGAAATCCTGCGATAGATTTCTATGGGAAAGCAGTCACGTTCCCCCGGCATTAGGTTCATAGTGCTGACAGGGTTGCATCCCCCTTCCATAGAACAGCCCTTATCTTAATGAGGAATCGCAACACACAGTCCTGTTGTAAAATAACAATGATGGGGGAAGCAGCTAATGAGGCTATCATGGTGCGGGGAAAGAGCCATCTCTCCCTACAGGCCCCAGCGAACACAACAGGCTCTGCGGCAGACGTGGCGAGGCCGGAGACAGAGCTCACATTGATTGCATAGGTTCAAGAGGCAGAGCCGGTGAAATGAAAGATGCCAAGACTCATCAGCCAAATTAGTTCAAAGTGTAGAGTTTTGAGCCGTCTGTGAGCCGATTGTTGGGTTATTTGGGAGGAGTGATTTTGTTGTGAGAAAGCAGCCGTGAGATTATGTTGTTTGTTTTCCCCCGAAACCTTGGGGAAATTTTTTACGCATTTGAGCTTGATTGATCAGGCGCGAGGTGTTGTTGCAACATTTCACTGGTGTGCGTTTCCACTTAGTCGAATGAATTACTGCTGGGTACATATGAGATTATTATTATCTGCTATGTAAATGAACAAATCAACTGCTAAAGACTGTTTATCTATTCAGGATTCATATGAAATGTCTGTTTATGAGTTAGTAAAATATAGGAAGTTACTGTCTGAGAGCAATTGCACTTCTTGTAATGATCCTTATCCTTTATGCTTCCTTTAAATTATGTGACAAATCTGCTTAGGATTTAGAGTCCCGTCTCTGTTTGATTTATTGCTCTAGTAGTGTGAGTGTTATGGTAGCGCTTCACAGAATCAAAGCCCGATTTTGCGACACAGTTGGTTTGTTTTTGCCTCTGCACAGAAGTTTTTTATTTGATTACTTATTTTAGACATTTAGAAGGCGATACATCCATTCCTCCCTTCATCCGAGTGACTGATGTGAATGTATGTCCGGAGTTGCATGTCTACATTACATCTAGTTTTTTTTCTTCTTCTTTTTTCTTTCCACCTGGCAGACGCTCACCCATCATATCCGCCTTCCATGTGTGTAAAGCGAGAGCCCCATGAGGCATCCTTTGCCCCCTTCACCCCCTCCTCTGTTGGGGATTCTGCTCTAGCCGACATCTTGTCCCACCAGTCCGGCCTCTCTATAGATGCCTCTACTCCCAGCTACCCTGCCCATGCCCACGGCCCCCACTACAGCCAGTATGCCAACCAGTATGCCAGCCAGCCCTTTATAGCAGGTACAACTTTACCCATAAGGCCCTGTGACCAGATCAAAACCCAGTACACCTGACTCTTTTAGATGATTTATCTGTGTGTATCGTTAATAATTAAGTAGTTAACCAACATATTAAACAAATTAAAGTGTCTGTCTCTCATGTCGCAAAGCCATAAATCCCATCATGCATTGTGGCCCTGCTGTTTTATTCACACAAGCAGAACGGACTGCTCGCCCCTCATTAAGCTCTCTCCCCCTCTCGGTTTAACAAAAGGCCTGCGGGTCCCTCCAGCCTCGTGACAGGCCCAAGGTCTGAAGGTTAAGAGGAGACCAAAGGGGGGTTTGAAACAGGGGGTGCGGAGGCAGAGACGTAGGGCTGATGATGTTTTGGACCTCTATGTCCTGCTCCTGTGCGCCCCTTCATCCCGCCAACCCCGATGCTGTCACAGTTCATTATAAAACTGAATGTGGAGCAAAAAGAGCCCACATTTGCCCAATGCTGCTTTCAGTTTCAAGAGCTGCTTAGGACGTCAGCATATTCATGTTATAGTCACTGTTAAGATCATTTCATTAACCCATTTTGAGTGGGTTTACTCAAAAATAAGCACGCATATGGGCCTGTGAGATTGACTGGTGATCCTGTCCACGGTGCACCATTCGTCCAATGTATTCACCAGAACAATAAATATCCAGCTCAGACAAAAATTATGCAACTTCATGACACTTGTGTGGCATATTTGTGGTTAATTTCCGATTAATCTGGATCTTATTCTCAGTGAATATTTGCATAGATTCACTTTGGTGTTTCTTCTTTATGAAAAGTATAATTGGAGAGTTTAAGCGTTAAACTCTGGATAAAAAATGATTGAAATAACATTTGAGGTTTAAGTAAATATAGAAAATATACATTTATGTTCAACTTTTACCCGCGTGTGCCCGCAGGTCGAGACATGGCCAGCACCACCTTACCTGGCTACCCGCCTCATGTCCCGCCCACAGGACAAGGCAGCTACCCCACCTCCACGCTCGCCGGAATGGTCCCTGGTAGGTGTCGCTGCTCCCTTTTTACGACGCCGTTAATTTTACTATTACAAGATTTATTTCCAGTCGGTGCTAACCTTCACTCCATCTTGTCGAGGTCACCTAAACATGTAACACTTACAAAAACACGATCGCGACTTGAGATACTGAAGGAGCCTTAACGCGTTGCTCTCGACCCAAAGGACTGGAGCGAGCTTGTTATAGCTTTGTCAGGCCGCGGTTAGCGTGCGGTTAGCTTCCCGCGGACGAGGACATTAGATGAACTCGATAGGCGATCACCACAATCAGTGGCCGTGTGATAGGACAGTTCCTCTCAGTTACACTCCAGCTCCCAGCGCTCATTACCATCACCGTGTCCACACAGCGCACTCTCACCAGCCCCGTCGATAAACACTGCCTCTGCCTCCTCTGCTCGCCTCCCCGGACACCCAGGGCTGCAGAGCGTATCTCTTTCCCCTCTACTTAACCTGCAGCTCAGGTTCACGGCAAACAGTTAAGGGTCAAAACACAGAGGCGTGGAGGGCCTGTAAATATTTAAATCACTATCTCTCTCCGGGAAGAGCTCGAGTTACGCGACCAGTAGCGGGGTTCGCAGAGTAGATCTCTCCTCCAAACAACTGAAAACACAATTCCCTTTATTGCTGGGAGACGTGTAGCTTTCACACTGACCAATAATCAAAGTGGGCCTGCGGTATTTACAAGGGAGCTCAGGGTGCATGAATATCGGACACAAAGTTGGATTGGATGCCACTAGAGAGTGCTTTGATATGCTCATGCCAGCTCGGCCACCTTCTTAATCCACAGATTGGAATTGTTCTTTTTTTTTTTTTCACCTGGTGGTGAATGACTAAGATTTAGTGACCGGTCCCAAACACTGTGAAAGGAAAGGCCATTCTTCAGCCGCTTAATAAAAGCCCAGCCTTTATAGTCTCGTAAAAGAAGGAAACCTGTGGACCCGCGGCATCGCTCCCTGACATCCCCCACAGCTTCCCGTCTGTCCCACCGCGGCCGGCACACAGAGTAAAACAAGCAGATGAGAGTCTTAGAGAATCAGGGAGTTCTGAACCGAAACGTGATTCAAGGCCGAATGATTAATACTTTAGATTGTTAGCTTTTTGCTAAATGTTGTTTTTTTTGGTTTGTTCTCCAGGTGGGGACTTTTCTGGAAACCCTTACTCTCATCCACAATACACCACCTACAACGAAGCATGGCGGTTCAGCAATCCAGCGTTACTAAGTAAGTGACTCTCTTGTATACGAATTAGCCTTAATAAACTTCATAAATAAACACATTCTGTGTCCTTGGAGTTTCACACAAACGTGTCTTACACACTGTCTGTCCTCATGGTTTCCAACGGCTCGTTCTTCTGTTAACTTTCAGGTTCCCCTTACTATTATAGCGCCGCGTCCCGTGGCTCAGCACCTCCCGCCGCCGCCGCCGCGTACGACCGCCACTAGGTACCACGGAGACCATCTCGAACTGCAGGGCCGCGGCTTCGGCCTCCATATTGTCCCCGTCTGAGAAACACTGAGTTCAAAGGGAAGCGAGGGGGAATCCTAGAGGAAACCCCGTTGTGTCACGCCATGTGGAGGAAGGATCGGCGAAGGTCGACGCCGGGTGCGTCCAGCCCAGCTTCAGCGTCACTCACTTTGGGTCAAAAGGGCCGGAAGCGGGGGTGTGTGGGGGGGGGGATTCAGAACTCACCCATCATGCCCTCACTCTCTCAAAGGCCAGAACATTTCCAAAATGACTTTAAGAGATTATATAAATATATATATTATAAAATATAAATTGAAGAAAAACATTGTGAGAAGAATATCATGTGGAAAAAAAAATGTTGTGGGTTTTTATTTTTGTTCCTCTGTTGCTGTCGTTGTTGTTGTTGTTGTTGTTATTTTATTCATGGATCCGCACATTCCTTCGATGTGATGAACTGCGGTATTTTTCTGCTCTAAAGAGAGAGGTCCAGGGGAGATGACAATGGTCCCATAGCTTGATGATGCAGCGACTTGAATCAGTGTTGCGAGGCCCCTTTGACACGTAATGAGATCCTGGCCCCTCACTGTGTGTGTGTGTGTGTGTGTGTGTGTGTGTCGGAGGGGGGGGGGGACTTTACTCTGGTGCTTTGACTACGTGTACTGCTCCCATTTCTCCTGTTCCTCCTACATTATCCGATAAACACAGCATGTCCTACAACGTTTACTGACCCGATGTAGGACAACAGCAACGTCACCCTCCCTGTGGCAAACAATCAGATGTAAAAAAAATGTAAATCGTTTTGCAAAGTATTAAAAACATGGTGACCCCCAAAATGGCCTCGCCAGAATTTTAGATACTTTAAATTATTTTTTTCTCCCTGTGTTCCTTTTTAATGTAAAAAAAAGGCTATCAAAGATTCCTTCAGAGTACTTGTCACGTTTCCCTCCTTTTCCAGTCATGTCCATGCGCCATCGTCCTTTGCTCTTTTTTTGCACTAAAACCTCAGCTTATTTAATTTATTTGGTACATTCACTTCAAATTAAGTTCAATAACCTACCAATTTTAAACATAAGTCAATACTATTTAATGTTGGATAGTGTAAGTGTAAAAACAAAAAACAGACAGACGGAAACATATTTTTCTGAGTAAAAGTGATGCTTTCAAGGAGTTTGTAAGCCATAGCCTCATGGCTACATGAACAATTTAAATTCTCCTGGGTTATATTCCATTCAGCTTCTTAGTCATACCACTAGATGCCTACACAGTTTAGAAAGCTGTACGCAGTTGAGTGAACCAACTGTAAATTAGCTTCAACAATTGCCTTACAAACCTGTTTTTTCAATGTAAATTCATGCCTGTTCAGTTAATTGCCTTTACAAACACATATTAACCACCCTCCTTGACTTATGTTCTACTCTCCTAAGGGACTGAAAGGAAATACTGATTCACTTTGCTTTTTGGAAAATATTTTGTGAATGTACTTTTAACTACATCTGCCAAAGACTTAGTTTGATATTTAATATTTTATTTACAGTATATGTATGCATCAATAAAGCAGTATTATCTTTTAAATAACTAGTCAACACTAAACATGTGTGTCGTCACAGTTCAACAGGCGAACAAACATGATGCATATGACTGTAAACGAAAAAAGGTGAAATTCAGTGACTCAATACTCCATCAGTTGCATTAAAATGCTGCTTTGTAGAATCATTTGTGAATAATATGAGGACAATTCTTCTCTGTAAATAATATCACACACACACCGTTGCAGTATCATACTAATGTACTGGCTCCCTTTGTAGATATGCGGACTGAAGAAAACGTGCATTACATTTGTGTCGTAATGTAATGTTGTGCAATGAAAGAAAGGCACAACTGCTGTATAACCTGCAGCTTCATATGCCGTGTCAGCAGGTTTCAGATACTAACATCACATAGGTTGTCTTTGTCATTTTATTTTGTTTATCATGACAATGTCATGATGATGTTTTATGTCACTATGCAATGAGTTAAATGGCTTTCTGTATCATCTTTTGTTGTTGAACTCAGATTAAATAATCCCCTTGGAGAACAGCATACGCGGTAACAATTACAAAAGACCTCCGGTGTGACGTGGTTTCTCTCTCATTTCACTTTTGCGCCACATTTTCCCCCGAATGAAGATGCGATCAAACTGCCATCATTGGCAACAATCAAAGATACTGTCCTGTTTGCCGTTAGTAGATGTTGTGATCATTATGTTAATCCAAATTACCGTCATCCGCGCCTCCATGTACAGAAACACATCCTCGCTTATTACCCTTCCACTCACTCTGCCAATACAACTCTTTAGCGTACGGCATCCAAGACGAGGTTTACTTAAATTCCACTCGAGCAAATACATCATCTGGTACCAGAGTTAACTGTAAGACGAGGGCGCCAGATAACAGAAAACAGGCCCTGCTCTTTAGGAGAAGCTATCCTCCACCATTTGCACTTCAGATAAGACTATTTCTGTCTCCAGAAATCCCAAAACAAAACACTTGGTGCAGTTTGCGAGCTGCCGCCATGCAGGCGAAGTCTTTGCTTGTGGAAACGGGGCACCTCTGAAGGAACAGGTCTTCTGCTGTTGTAAAGATGATACAGGAGATGTGTCATGGACATAAACAGGATTCCTGATGAAAATCCATACGGAAAGACTCGTGGCCTCAATCATTGTTCTGTTTCAGTTCTGTTCCAATTCTTTCTGTGCACATGAGAAATAAATTCTTTTTTTTTATGTCAGTCGTTGACTCTTTTGTCTTCTCATTATTAACCCCATAAGAAAAAAAAGATGAAGGGTTCAAGGTTCCCGAGGAAGCGCTCTTGCTCCGGATATATTGACGTTTGGTTCTACGAGCAGCGAGGACGACGGAAGCCTCTCAAATACGAAAACACGGGGCACGTCGTTTGTGTGCATCAGTCTGTGTGAATACTGAATCATAAACCCGACGATTCCTGTTAAAAGTAGCGCACGGTGAAAATAACTATTAAGATGTGTGTGTGTGTGTGTGCGCGGCACAGAGATAGAAAGAGCGAAAGTTTTAAATGACAACAGGAGAGAGGAGGGAAACACAGAAGGCAGGAGAGCGTTTCCCGGCTTCAAACTCCACTATATTTAATGATGCATTGGCTTCATCTTACTGTACCACACTGATACTGCTTCACCTCTTCTCTGCACTCTCTACCCTGAAACACACAATTGTAATTCGATTCAATTTCCCTGCTTTCGCTGCCTATTGTTTATTTCATGGATCCCCTGTGACGCATCAAAAGCTGCTGTTTCTGTCAGCCCCCTTACTGTCCTACGTGTTTGTCATTCAGGCCTTGTTAAAATATAAAAGACAGACACATGCGCGCTCCTTCCTCCTCCCAGCTGAGAATTCCCAGTGGTAAAATTATTCCATTTAGGGAACTTTTTTTTGTCACAACCCTGTTTAAATTGGCATATCTGGCTTCCCTGGTAGAAACCAATAAACTGTGAACCCCGGACGCATCTGTCAGTCAAGCTCATCTTTACTTTAGCGGGCCAGATGACAACAACAGGAGAGGAGACACACACCAGCAGAACGGGGAGCACTGATTGGCTCTCATCAGTTAGGCATTACGAAAAGCACCTGTCATCCTCGGGGCTCCTCAAAACCCTCTACAGAGGGAGAGGCCCTGCCACGGGGGCCAGTGGGCCTCGCCCAGGATTTACTCAAACACTTCACCCTCATTGTCAACTCGGCCTGGTGATGCCCTGCAGCTAGGCCTCTTTGGCATGATTCATGTCTATCACTGGTAATATATACAGTGAAATAAGCCCATTGTAGATGGACTATACTGAATTATATGTGTTTTAAAAGCATCTGAAAGAAGATTGGAAGGTTCATGTTCTTCATACAATGTTGAGGTAGTTGTGCTTTACATAGTTCTTTTATTTTATATTACTTTATATATCTACTCCAGTGCTTTAATATGATCTGTGCAGCTCTCAATAAAATGAATGAAGTCAAATTATCAACATTTGAGATAAAGTAAGAAACTGGTCAAATTCACATAATGAAGACGATTTTGAGAAGCAAAGATTTCTATTTGTTCTTATATTGCTGCTCTTATATTGCTGCTCTTTAGCAGTTTATAAAGTAGTTTGCTGCACCTTGACCAACAACAATAGTACAATGCTACTTGCATCGACGCATTAACAAAACAAAACAATAATTCCATATATGATTTTGTTTGTACTTTTGACAATAAAATGCGTGTATTTCTACTTCCGAGCATTTTCCACTTTTTACCAGAGGGGTGTTTACTCTTAACAGAATTAACACCATCAAAGTACAAAACAAATCCAGCTAGAATACAATACACAATGACTCCTCTTTGTGTAAACATCAACAAGATAAGCGGAGAGCAGCTTTCTGAATCTCGGAGGTGTGACACGAGCGCTGCGCTGATCAGAGACGAGGTCCAGCAATGACGTCCCGTCATCTGCCTGCACGGGAGCCTGTCATCAGCCTCATCATGTGGCTGTCACCGTTGATGCCGGCGAGGGGAGAGGCCAACGCTGCCGTGTCAATCAACGAGCCCTCATTAGAAGCGGCTTTAATTAGTGGCTACACGGGCGCGGTATTGTTCACAACGGCGCCTTCGTTAACTCTGTTAATCCCAAATGGATTTGTGTTGAGAAGAGGGAGCAGCAAAGCACTCGAGGAGGCCGATTCGATGATTTGACGCCACTTTGTGTTGGAAAGAGTTATTTCTCCTAATTTTATACCTTGAAAGTATGTCTTCGGTAAACTGTACATGAGCATCCTGAGGCAAGTGTGTGTGTGTGTGTCATCGGTCCAAACAAACAGAATAGATGATGTCCTTTGTGGAAATAAATCATTATTTCATACTAAAACGATTTCATCGAGGGTGGGGAATCAGACAGTTCGACCCCGGTGTCTGATCATCCTGATCCTGACAGAACGATGATTATGAGGTTATTTTCGCTGTCGGAGGGGGAGACCATCCAGGCGACAAGAACATGACTTTGTGATGTTTGTAATGAGTGAGCATTGATTGACTCAACGCGGCCTAAAGAGGTTTCCACCGCGTTGGAGCTCAAAGGATGCCCGGGCTCTGTGTGCAGGCTGCACTGTGGCACGGTTCGCAATTAGAATAAATGAAAAGTCTGAGCGCTGTCTGGTGAAATGGAATTGCTGTGTTTCTCATCTGCCAACTGTATGCCATTAGACCATTTCCATCCCAGTTAGATCAGTCAGCAGTGCAGAGCGGTTTCCCTCCAGGAGCTAAATTATCGTTTCGAATGGCCTTTGTGCGACACATTGTGTAATTAAGCACTAAATATTTCTTGCTACCTGATTATGTCAGCCTCTAAAAGGGCTTCGGAGCTGTGGGCCAGAGATGGGGTTTGTGTGTGGACATCGAGTGGTGGGGAGGGATTTGAGAGATTGGGGAGGAAGTGTGTATAGGGGCGTAGCAAAAGGCCAAAACGTATAAAATATGGTGGCACTGACCTGAGTGCTCCCTTCAGCCGAGAGAGAGGGTCTTCTGTCTGACAGAAGCCCAGCCTGAGAGGAGTGGGGGGGGAGGGGGGGGTTTGTTTGAGTCCCAACTGCAACAAGAGCATCCAGCACCCCGCCTTCCGCCTTCCGCAGCTTCCAGCAGGACGGAGGGAGGAGAAGAGACGAGGTAAAGTGGGAGTCCACCAACCCCCACCACCTCTGACTGGCTCCCCAACACACACACACACACTCCCTGACGCCTCCGCCCCCTCCTCTACCCAACACCCAGTCACTGTCAGGCCAAACACATGATGAATTGCCCTGTCAACAGAATTCATTCAGGGACCAATTAATTCAGCAGAAATGAACTAGAGCCATCAGTCGCTGAAAAACTCAGTGCAAAGAGAGCAAAGTAGCCCCACTTCAGGAAAACGAGGAAACAAGAGAGAGAGAGGGGGGGGGGGTAGAGGGAGGGATAGAGGGGTGAGCGCGGTGGAGACGAGAGGGCAAGCAAAAGAGGGAGAAAGAAAAGGAGAGGGAGAGAAAGCGTGGTGGAAGTTAGTCTGACAGAAATTGGTCATTTAATGCTTTAGCGCACTGGAGACAGCCCCTGTCATAGAGGGAGGCATGGCAGGGGCTCCCCTGGTATTTTATTTATTAATTATCCTATGCAGCGAGGGGCCTTTAACTGTCTCAGTCCAGCCTCGTCAGCCCGACTCCCTGTCATTTTCTCTCCACAAACAGATCCTTTAACACCGAGCTCCAGGTTAATGGAGACAAAGCCAATATCCAACCAACCTCGCCTTCTCCCCTAAATACAGTATTCATCCGTACCGTATCCAGGTAATTGTGTCTCAGGCGATCTGCTGAATATGTCGTTGGGATGCTAATAAACCGCTTTGAAGCCGGCGTGCAGAACACGTCTGACCTTTTCAACTCAGCGCTTGGTGGTGGCTCTTCGCCTCCCGAGGAGGGCAGCGATTACTTACACCTGATTAAGAACTGCACGTCATTGGAAATACACAAAGTTGTGAATAAGTGAATGATGGATGTACATTATTATTCAGGATATTATTCAGGACAAACTGCCGCTTATTTCCTCATAATTGGCTGTTGATACGTGATTCGGTGTGAACTCGCTGATGATAAAAATAGATGCTTTGCCAAGTGGAGCTACCTGTCCCAAACATTTCTCACCTCAAATGCTCCATCTCTGTTTCCTTTGCGTCGTCGACAACGTCCAACAGAAGCGTGCTTGCCAGAAGCTGTTTTGTTGGCGAGGACAAATTAGCGCTGTGAAGGGCGATATCAACACCGGCTAATTAAGGTGTCGTGTGATTTTGGGCTCCAGATCAAGAATCTGCTGATTCATCCCACGAGTGATTATGATGTCCATATGGTCAACGCACTGCGTGCTACGCAGGGAAACAATATCGACCCGCTGCGGCGCTGGCGCTGCCAAAAGGTTTGATCTTGCCTTTTGTGGCGGTGTTTGGTGGTGTTCATCAAGGCTCTGAATTATTAACGCCACCTTTTCTTTAAGCCCGGGATCCTCCAGTGGAAAAAACGTGGGATGAGGGGCAGCCGGGGAAGCTGCCTGCGACTGGCTGACCCTCTGACACCAGGAAGTGAAATTCAACGCTGTTCCCACTGTCGTTCATTAATGTGCTCGTGTACCTTGGATGCCTCTTAGGGTCACCTGGTTATAAAGAATCATCACAAAGTTGTCTTTACAGGTCATTTTTTTAGTGTTTTATATTGTTGTGTTTTTGAAGCCTAACGTCTAGTCCTTATTATTAAGTTACATTTTTGGGGGGAGGCAGATGATGAGTAATTACTAATAAACTCGATTCTCTCTTTCTCTTTTTCTCATTCGTCTCAATTCAAGTGTTTTACTGTAGTGCTAAGCCCAGTGAAAACACAGCTAATAGACAACGCTGGCACACAAGCCAAGTGAACCTGACAAATGGAACAGAAAAGCTAACGGAGAAGAAAGAGGTGCTTAGGCCAACTGTCACAGGCAAAGTGCTTTCCTGATTTCTGTTTACTCACCATGCTTGGAACTTGACTTGTTTTCCTGCAGCTTACTGCAGAGATTCTGTCTGTGAGTCAGCTGGTTTGTCAACGTGTCTCGCAGGTAAAAGAAAAAAAAACGCTCATTTAGCACTTGATTTGGAAGGTGTAGAAAGCTAGGCGCTGGCCTTGAGAGTGTGACAACACGGTCACCTGAAATAAGTACTTTTTTCAATA